TTTTTTTTTGGAAAAAAAGGAGCCTGTGTTCTGACTGGAGCAGGATGGTTCGCCAACACATTAGTCTGCCATCCTCTCAGTCTGCCGGCTTTCCGAATAAAGTCGCTATTCCTTGCCCCAACTCCTCGTCTCCCGATTTACTGGCCTGTTGTGTGGCGAGCAGAACAAGTTTGGACTCGGTAACTCTCTCAAACATCAAAAAATCAAAGCGAAACATGGCAAGGCCTTAAATGACAGCTGCTGTCTGTCTGTACAAAGCCCTGCCGCCCAAGGAAATGCCAGGAAGAAGGTGACTTGGCCCCTCTGTATCCAGCTCAGGTCTGCACCGTGCACAGCTGCAGCACCACTGGAGGGGGCAGGGCAGGATACTCTCCCCACTTCAGACGAAGAAAGTAAGTTAGAAAGGCTGAATAATTTGCCTGAGATCACACGCACAGGAAGTGGGCGATGCACCCAGAAAGCTGGCTTTTCCCAGAGCTCTTTTTAAAACACTAAATTTATCCCTCCCTTTCATATAAAAATAATCAGTATTATCTTTAAAATGATTAGTCTCTGTAAAAATAATGCCCTGCCAGTAAGATTTCTTTTCCATTTCAAGCCTAACCATAAAAAAGCGTGGCTCAGTCTCAGTATGTCGGTGTGGATTGAATTACATTCCCCCCAATCCATCTGTTGGTCCTAAGCCCCGGCACCTCAGTATGTGCGTTTTGGGAGGTATGGTCTTTAAAGAAATGGTTCAGGTAAAATGAGGTACTTATACAGGGGCCTAATCCCATGTGACCGGTGTTCTTACCAGAAGAGATTGGGTCAGACACAGAAAGGCAGAGAAGACGGCCGTCTGCAAGCCAAGGAGAGGCCTCAGGAGAAACCAACCCGCTGACACCTTGACTGTGGACTTCTAGCTTCTAGAATTGAGAGAGAATAAACGTCTGCTGTTTAAGCCTCCCAGTACGTGGTGTTTGTTATGCAGGCTGAGCTGACCGGTACATATAGTATGTAGAGTATTATCAGAAAACACTTCTCAGTGATCTACCATGTGTGATTTGATCAAAGCATGACCTTTTTTATATTAAAAATATAATTACCAAATTTTAAAAAGGGCCAATGATGATGGCTGATCTATTTCTGTTTGTTTGTTTGTTTTTTTAAGTGTGAATTCAACAGACATCTGGCAATGGGTGTTAGTTTCCTGGGCACTGACATGCTCTCCTCCACAAGCTGCTCAGAGGCAGTAATCCTACTTGCAGGACAGTGCAGACTGTGGACTCCACCCCTTCAGACATGTTTTTCAGCCTGTAACAGACTGCTCCCCTGCAGGACTGCTCTGAAAATGTTGACCAGAGTCCCAGAATCTTGTCCTTCTAGTGTGAAAAATCAGACTTGGGATAAATTAAGACAAACCCAGTGGTTAAAACTACTTGGCTACGGTAACACAGGACAACTCGAAGTAACATTTTGCTCAAAGCAGGTCCCTAGTACATAAGAGACACACACACAGGGTAAACATAACAAAGCATGCCTCTCGGGAAGGCAGCCACAGCCACCAGGGGAACGTCTCCTCTTGTTTTTCTAGTGGGAAGGCGCACAGCTCCTCACACACACATGCACACAGTGCTCAGGCGGTCACTCCCAGGTCCCTTACAAATCCTTTGGGAGACAAATTCAAGGCAAGAGTATTAAAGCTACCTGCACAATCCACAGTTGAAGACAATTCAGACATTTCAGCTGGATTTCAGTCTCCAGTTGTTAACTCTTCATGGTAACATCGAGGTTTTTAAATGGCCTTCCTTCTGTCCTTTTCACATCATTATCTGCTTCAGTGGTTCCAACATGAAGACAACAGAGTTTAAAAGCTGTATGTAATGTGCCAATCCTATAACTTCTAGGTGGTTCACATGTACTTCAAGCTCTTATGTTCCCCACCGAGTGTGAATTTTCAAAGCATAAATTGAAAGTAACGGAGGACGAAGATAAAAGAGGGAAGCAGGACTGGTGCCTACAATGCAGACGGCAGCCTACTCACCTATCGTTCACGGCCAACGTAAAAAAGAAATGCATGGAAAGGGCCCACACTTCTGTGTCACCATCACCAGAGCTGACGGATCAATGTGCCACCTAGTCCAGCGCCCTCACGGGAAAATCAAGAAGAATGCAATGTTATTTTTAGGCAAAATTACGTGCCAACACAGTATCTCCAGATCGTCTGCCACCCAGTTACCAAACCTAGTAAGAGTTTTAAGGCCAATATAAAGGCAGATGGAGACTGTCTGGAGAAAGTTTAGACTTACCTACTTCTCTGAAACTCAGCAGCCTAAAAACCTACAAATACATATGACAAAGGACAAGTTAATTACGGTAAAAATTAGGTAGGAGACTGTACTATGGGTATAAAAAGTCCAGGTTTTGTAAGAATTATTAACTTAATAACATGTTTAAAGTGTCTTTAGAATACAAAATAGTATCTACAGTCTTGTGAAAATCAAATTTTTCCAGTATAATTTCTCTTCAAAATAAAAGATTTTTCGAGGGGAAAAAAGAAAACTTTGGGTTGTAATTCTCACTATAAAGAGACATTGATTCCTATATTCCAGTGACTTAATATTAAACTTTTTATTATGCAATTTGGAAATAAGAAAACACTTTTTGTCATCAACTTATGAAATAAGATTATAAAAAATTATCCACAGAAATTAGACTACAGACTATTCAAATCAAATCACTTCACTGAAGTAATTTAATTCGGAGGCGTTACCACGGCAGCTGGGAGCCGAGGCACAGCACTGAGGGCCTGAGTCCTCATGGTCTCTGTAATCCTGGAACAGGTACTTGACCCTCACCCCCTTCTTCAACTGCACAATGGGGAGAAATGTCGTGCTTTCCACACAGGATTAAGAATTAAATAAAATATTGGGTGGAAAGTGCTCGGCAAGGTACTTATTAAACCTTTTCCCGTGTTTCACTAGTGTCAAACGCATGTATTATCACAGAGCTATGGCTGTGCCAGGAAAACAAACGGTGGACAGCAAGCCAATCCCTGCAGCTCTCCAACACCGACGACAGCTGCAGACTCGGTTCTTCAGGTTACAACAGCAGTCTGGAACCGCCAACTTTACACTAAACTTGCTTTGTTATTTTTTTGTGGAAAATGCTTCCTGAGTTGTACCTTCGATACCACGACGAGTGATTTACCTTCGGGAGAAGACTGTAGGATCTAGCCCCGGTTGAACACCTGTGCTTCCGGGTGCGTTCATCTCCTCCCCACACCTGTCTGCTGGTTCCTCCCACCAGAGCCTGAGAAGTGGCCCTGCATCCCCACGGCCACTGCCTGGCAGAGGCCACCGCAGCTGCCATGCGGAGACTAGCCTCCTGTGGCCACTCTGGCAAACAGGAACAGCGACATGTCCCACCCTAGCTTCAACCATGGTATCCTCGGGCCAAACAGGGAAACAAGAAAAAGGAACCTAGTCAAAGGCAGGCACAGCCTGAACTCTTTTTCTCTCACCGAGAAAACCACTCAGGAAGATAAAACCTAGAGCACACACAGTTCACAGTATGACCCACACTTCTTTGTCCTTAACATTGAAATACGGAGATTCTTCACTATAGAATTTCACTAATTGGTATTTAAGTATTAATAAAAAGCAATATATAAAGTATGAATAGATGTGAAAGTATAAAATATACATTGTTTAACGCAAACAATTATTTTAAGTTTATAATTTTATGATAAATTAAAATTTCTCATTAATGGATAAGCACAAACTTTAATATTTTGGACTACATAATATATCGGGGTTATTTATTACTGCCCCCTTTTCAGGTATTATTCACTATCATTCAAATAAAAATTGTTTCCTTCTGTTTCTATGTAAATCTGACATTTACATGTAGTGAAAAGGGGGGAAAGTTTACTTAAAATTTTCAAGTAAAACTTTTAAAAACTCTCAGAAGTTTAACAACACATCACATTTTGCTCATAAGCACAAAATTTACAGGCAAAAGTTGCACATAAAGGGTTTATTTTAAATGTTTTAAGGATAGGATAGAGTTACATCATAATTATAAAAATTACTTACAGAATTAACAGATTTATATTGTTTATACTTCTAAATGCAGAGAACAGGGAACTGTCTACACATCGTATAAAATAAAATTAAAATTAAAAATGAATTCAAGCTTGAAAGATGAGGTCATTTACCTAATTTTAAAATGCAAACACGAAGACCTCTGAACTATACACATTCGTTCGAACTGCACTGATGATGGAGAATACAGAGAGCGCAGCATTTCCAAGGAACCACAGACATTTTGACTGTAATTATTTTCTGTTATAATAATTGTTCCTGTTTTGTCTTTGGAGAACTTTCTTTTTTTTTTTTTTTAAGACAATCAGCTGAAGAATGTTTTCAGGCACTACAATTTGTGACAATCAAAAACAGTCTTCTAATGGGTCCGCAGCGTTCAGAGAGTCGAGCCCAATGCACTTCGGGGTTTGGCACATAAAACAACAGAAATGAAACCTGGTTTAGAAGCAACTGCGATTGTTTCAAGAACGCACAGTCCCTTCAAATGCTGCATGACATATACAACTGGAAAAACCGCCTTCTGTTGGCACTACATTTGCTTCACCAGTGCATTTTTACCCTACAACCACTAAAACAGCACAGTAAGCAAATATACAGAAACTGAAAACAAATAAAAAACAAAGATAGAAAACAAAAAACCTAAATATATTTAACATGCAGTTTTAGTTAGTTACATTGAACATTCTACTTAGAATAGGGCATGCAAAAAAGGATGGTCTGCTTTTAGTTTTCCTTTGAAGCTTTACGTGGCAGCCGGACTTCACACACGCACACACACGACACGATAATACTATAGCAGGTCAATGAGAAAGGCCAATACATTTTATACACAGATTCATGTCTTGTGTTGTCACAAGTCCCATGGTAATTTTGGAAATTGATGTTGTATTCCTAGAACAAGGAACCAACATTCAGATACCAGGAAAACGCAAGCAACGCATGCAGATCTGCAACATGAGCCTAAACGCAGCCTGAAGTACTCGGCTAGGGAGCAGTTAGTCACGGCGTTAGGAAGTGTGGTTGAAGCCACCGAAAGAAAAAACAACGGGAAAAAAATGGAAAAACAAAACCCCTTCCCCTTCCTTCAACCCTAAAGGCAATAAATGCAACAATGATCAAAATAATGGTACCAGTCATCGCATGTCACATCCATCCGGAGTGGCAGATCACGTGGAATTCAAAGCTGCTAAAGGTACTCGCAGAAAAACCACAATGCAAGTCATCAATGCGAGAAATGTTTCAGCTGACCCAACCCTCAGGGTACCTCCAAATGACTCTGCTTTTAGTCTGAAGTCACCGGGCCCTCCCTGTTCACGCAGTGCACACTGGGTACACGCACTCTCTGGGCCACACGTGGCCACTTGGGCTTGGGGAGCTGGGCTCGGCCTTGAGATTCATATGCAGGGACTCTTACCAGAGCCACTAGGAGAACAGGTGCCAGGCGACACTTGTTCCAAGCACAGGAGAAACATCTAAGACTTGGGTACTCACTGAATGGAGAAGCTGGCCTCTGGCTGCCCTCAGTGAGGCACTGGGCACACTGCACAGAACGGGGGTGCTGGATTTACATGGTGCGCAAGGTTCCTGTCCCCCAGCACAAGGCACAGCCTTCCTCCAGGCGACAACAGGCAGCACGCGAACCACGCACCGCGTGGCCCTGAAACCACAGAACCTCTAACAGCACGAACAGCCACGGAGGACACACAGAACTCTGCTGTTTGACAGTGAACGCACTGAGCTTTCTGCCTAAGTTCTAAGTAAGATTTTCAATCTCCACAAAACTGATCTCACACACTGCCCTTCTCCTAGCTTCCAAGATGCCAGGGCTCACTCAAAGTGACAGACGGACACTTTGCTACGAAACAAACCACGTTTTGCAGTATTTTGGTTAGAACAACCTTGCAGGAATAAACCAGGAAAGAACTCTATGGCTAAGGGCTGTTGTCAGTCACACCTGCAAGCCAGTGCAGGTGGCTGACCCTGATGTGGCAGGACCCACCGAATGGAATGAACCCCCATCAACAGCAGACCACGGGCAGGAACATGCAGCACCACGGAAGGTGTCAGGAGATGCAAGGTGTTACTTGTCTAGACAGTCTTTGCGGGAAAAAGTCGAGGGGAAAAAGCCTTCTGATCATAATCATGTATCAACAATAATAGTAATAAAAATAAAGGTGCCCCAGAGAACTTGTTAGGAGACAGTAACACCATTCTCAAACTTACATTTCTAATATAGAAGCACTATGTCCTTCCAGGAACTTACCAAGTGCACATAAACCACTGACGTACTGGTGCCTTTTAAATCCGTGTACTAAAACCCAGATTACTAATTTGTACAAATGATGGATCAAATGTGCTGTCCAAAATACACCTGCATTACACTATGTGGACCAAGTTCCTGGGCTTTT